CGAAATGCGGACGTATGGCAAACTGTGAAGTTTCGGGACCTGAAACCGCCAGGCGGTATTCGGCTCTTGCCAACAAGCAGTCAACTTTGCTCAACCCGGGGGAGCGCTTTGCCGCGATTCATCGCTCCCGCCTTGCAGCTCGAAACTTGTATGTGATGAGTCGTAATTATCGGATCCACGAATGATTATATTTAGCCATGTTTCCAGGTCCTAATCATGATTCAACCAGGACCATGTGCTTCCGTACACGATATGGCGATCATGACTCTCTTCCTGGGGCTACACTGTACTTCACATCAATTTCGCTCGGATGGATGAACTCACTCCATCAATTGATTAGAGCATTCGTGCTCGGCCAGCTGACCAGATGTAGATGAGATACAAACGCCATCAACGACACTGCCTGATCAAGGCGAAGGAGCTAGCATGGCTCCTTCTTAATAGACAGGCAATGCTCAATTTTGCACAGCTCTCCCCCCGGTTTTCTTCTCTTCGTTCATTCCCCCTCTTTCTCCTTCTACGGTTCAAAGGATAATGGCCTCTCCGGCACCACCACCACCGAATATGGCTCAGATCCCTCTGCCACCCGGCTTTACCTTGGATCAATTTCTGACGCTGCAAGGACAGCTAGGTTGGCCGTTTTCATATCCATCCATGCTGCGATCGTGGACTCACAGTATTGCTGTCAGTCACAATTGCGATCATCGTTGCCGTCGCTTTTGGTGTTGTTCTCTGGGACTAGTACGGCCTTACATCTTTCCCCGAAGTGTGCTGAGCCTTACCTAAGAATTTGCCTACAGTTTCGCTCAGCTCCCAAACGAGATCGCCCTATATTTATCAAAGGATAAGAAGGTGTGGCGCCAACCTGCGACGTGGTTGTAAGTGATCTCATCATTGTATCGGCTCCGTGTATCAATCCACCCTTGGCTATCAATAGTTTCGTTATCCTTCGATACTCTGGAATCGTCGCCACATTTCCGTCGTTGTTCTTCACATCTATTCAGAGTCAGCACTGCCAGGCAGCTGTAGTGACCAGTCAAGTTGGAGCAGTCCTCGTCGTAGCATCATCCGGAGCCATCTTCTGCTATCGAGTCTTCGCGATATGGAACGGCGTGAAAGTAGTTCAGGCTGCCGTCACTTTTATGTTCCTCGCTATGATGGGGTGCTGGGTAAGCAGAGTAGTTCGTTAACCCATTCGAATGACTTAGCTCATCGATGATCGTTTTAGATTTCTGTTGCCACTCAGTATGCAGCGATCACCGGACCGCCAACACCGTTCGGATCCAATTGTCAGATGCTGCCAATCGTTTCATGGGCGCCCATCAGCTACGCGTCGTCTGTGGCATTCGACACAGTAGTTTTGGTCCTCACCTTGGCCAAACTACATGGAAACCTTGCAGCCACCGGGTCTAGGGTCGGAAAGCAGATCTACCGGGATAACCTGGTGTATTTCCTCCTCACGGCAGTGACGAATATCACTGTACTCACCATCCAGGCGCTTGGGCCGCGATTCGACATGATAAAGCCTACCGCCGTTCCATTTTCGACTCTGATGACGGTGACAATGGGGTCTAGGGTGTTCCTGAATCTCAAACTCTTCGATCAGAGACAGCAGGGCGCCGCTTCCGGCATCCCGTTGTCGATAAGCAGTCACGGCTCCAGCGGCCAGAACCAATCTTTCATGTCCCCTCACGCCCACGCAGTAGATATCAAGGGACCTTACGACAACCGTCACGGTGGTTATGGGATGTAGGATGCCGCACGATTTCCATCTCATATTGTACATCAATTCGGGGACCTCACTGTAATTCTATAATTTATTTATGACCACTGTAATTAACAGCTGTATACCATTTTTGCTGAGCACGGTGGTTAGCTGGAAACATTTGAAGTCAGGAGTGATAACCAATGATGAGTCGCGCTCTAGAACAGATTGTGTACGAGTAGAACGTTATCTACCTCCAACCCTATCATCACCAATTGTATACAAGCCAGTCGCGACCCTCACAATCGATCGTGATCGAGCGGCGAACCTGACGCGTTGTTTGCCAATGATTGGAAAGACAAGCAATGATCAGGTTCGTTGGCTCAACCATCATTTTTGGCAAATCTTGTATTCCTTCAGGTTGCCTTCACAATGCCTTCAGGCTTCGAAGTACAAGGTTTCTTTGGCGCGCAAAGTACAAGGTGCGCCGGCTAGGCATGTCTACAGCATATATATCCGTTGCAGGTCCATCCTTGCTTGGTCAACTCCTCTTTCATTGTCGCTGTGCGGGTCACTCGAAACCTCGACGACATATCTTTGCAAGCCTTCCCTCAACACTGCTTCCTGCGGGCCCAACTCTGTGCCTTATACATATCAAACATGCCAATTTCCGTTTCCAACTCGAGAGCCCTCGCTGGCTTTCTACCAAACTTTCTCTTGTCGCGGTTCAAACAGTCTGCACCCTGTTTTATACATCGTCTTCCTTTGGACGTTTTTGTGGACCATATCTTCGTTCAGCTATGCATAGAGGACATCATGTGCCTCAGAAGGGTTGGTCGCACTTCGTCTTTTCTTTCCAATAGTGCTAACGATGAACTCTAGGTTAACAAAGCCTTCTTTCTACTCACTCACGAGCCCGTGATATGGAAGCGCTTTTTATCACATCTCAATGTCCCTCTTCCTCCACTCCGACCCACGTTTCGATATGCGCTGGAAGCTACAGACTTCGAAATCGAGCAACTCGTTTCACGCGCCGTATCTCTCGAAGACAACTGGCGCAAACCGCATCCCGAAGCCACCTCGGCCATCGTCTTTGATACACATTATCACGTTCTCGACATGAAGCTGTTACCTGGAGGGAGATACCTCATCGCCTCCGTACGGGATGCGTATCGTTGTTTCATCGTGGTCTACTGTTTGGATCACCCAAACGGTCCACATGCGTTGGCGAGGTTTCCCACCCAAATGAAGGCCTTCAACCTCCAGGCGAAGTATATGAACTACCAGGGAAAACCGGTGATCATGATTGCGTACGTACGTCGGAGCTTTCAGGAGGGCGGGCCAGCAAAGTGAGCAAATCTGTATTTCACCTGAGGAACGAATATTCATCGTTCTCGCTAATAGTGTAGATCCATCTGAGTACAGTTCTCGAACCCCCATTGACCCCCCACATCCATTCGTGCATGAGTTGATTTGTGTCCAAATCAGCTTGGAGGCGCTCGAAGCGCTTGCTAATCCTTATGTTGCGCCTGGAGGGACAGAGTCAGCATCCATTTCGTTGGCAGACCGTTCGAAGGGACCATTCTATCAGGTCGCAACGGCTATTGCAAAATACCAAGTCGATCACATATCGCTGTACGAACTGGATGGGCGGCCATTCGTCAGTATGGTGCAATTGCCCAATAGGATCGTCGTTATCGATCTCACGGCTCAAGCTATCTCGACGCTGATATGTGAAAGCCATGACGAATATCAGGACCATGTACGATTTATGAAACAAAACTTATGAAGCTTTATTGACGATTTTCGCAGCCTCATCACATCAGAGCAGTCCGACACCTGCCCTATCAAAACGAGATCCTCGTCTTTCGCACCATCACCGTTTCGCCCCCTCCGAACGCCCAGCAGACCCCCGTTCGACTCATGCAAGTTCTCGAGATCTACGAAATGCCCACCCAAGCCGGTGCCACCGAACTCGGGTATCCAAAAGACGCATACGTCATAGGCGACCACAACATCGCCGTCGTCCACATCTCCGACTACGGTATCCCCACCACCAACGGCGAGGACTACCGCCTCCAATTCCACTACCAACCCTCCCCGCCCATATCCATCTACATGGAGACCTCCGCCCCCAGCGGCGTCATCCACTACGTCGTGTGGCCCTCATCCAAAGCCAACAAACAAGGCAGCCAGACCTACTTCTACTCCCTCGACTACGTCTGCATACAGACGCGGCACAACTGCGAGCCCTACGTCGCGCACGTCCTCCCCGGGGCCTTCCGCGCCCTCATATACACAGCACACATGGACGACCGCAAGGACGCGCTCACCCTCGTGTCCCTCCGGCGCTACCTCAACCCCGAGTTCCAGACGAAGAATTACCCGATCCCGCGCGTGAACCGCTCGTCGAAGGTGATGCGGAAGAAGGTGCCGTCGATGCCGACGAATGTGTATGGGACGCTGAAGACGAACCCGGCGGCGCTGGAGCGGTTCCAGCGCCTGGGGATTGCGGCGATTGCGTGGGATGAGGGTATTGGTAGGGTGTGTATTGCGGCTGGGGGGACGCCGCAGATTGAGATTGTCGATTTCGCGAATGTGGTGCATCCGGATAGGAGATTTGAGCGGTGGAAGCAGGCGCAGGATTATGTTCTCCATGATAGCTATGATCATGACTCCACGACCAGTTCTTCCACCTCCGTCACTCGATATTAGGCTCCTGACATTGGACTTGGTTATTCGCTCACTTATTTTGAACATTCGGTGTACCATAGTGTAAAGTAATTGATGTAATGGATGGTTATTGTACGATAAGCAATATAGCTTTTGTCCTAGCACTCTGGGTGGCGTTGTGTACCAATTTGACATCATGACTCTAGGTGGTCGATGCAAATGAATAAAGGATTCGCAAAGCCACCACGAGCTCGAGTCGGTTCTCATGAGCATGATGGATGGATAGGTTTGGCCGTGACAGAGGAGGACAGAAGGTCGGCGCCCAACCAACTACAGCAACAAGGCAGAGACTTCCGCAGAGCCACCACGAGCTCGAGTCGGTTCTCATGAGCATGATGGATGGATAGGTTTGGCCGTGACAGAGGAGAACAGAAGGTCGGCGCCCAACCAACGCTCAACCGCCAAAGAAGTCTCTGCCTTGTTGCTGTAGTTGCTATGCCTCCTCACAGAACGTTCATACTCGTCGAGAAGATTCATGGATGCGACGATCAGGACGACGCCATCTGTTTTACGCAAACTTGAATAGCAGGGCCAGGTTGGAAAAAAGACCTGGTGTATATAATTCCCTCTAGCCGACTTGAACGACTGACCTCGTCATATGATCACAACCATACTAGTGACGCGCTCTACCACTGAGCTAAGAGGGACGTTACAACTCACGTCCATATTTGCCACAACCTATGATTAGCGGCCGCCAGTGGACAAATGCACTGCATACTCGTATAATGGACATGTCACCAGAACCAGCCGGTAAACGGGTGTGTAGTCTACATACTATGCTAGACTAGTAAAAGGCTCGCATGGGGTAGCATCAAACCCTCATAGAGGGAAGCTTGCCACCATGGAGGTGAGAAGTACAGGACGACGAACAATTAACCAGTGACCAGAACCTGCAGCCATTTCCCCGTCCAGGGATCTGACCTCAGGTTCGGCATGGGAGGTCTAAGTATACTGATGCTTTACACTACGAATTAGGGCCGCTCACTCTATAACATATCAGAAGTCCATCACCGCCGAATCCTATACACACACATCCACCGCCGCTCACCAAATCCCCACTTTAAAGCGTCAGCCTCATCCGCAAGTCCACCGACGCCGAATACTATACACACATCCACCGCCGCTCACCATATCTCCAATTCAGAGCGTCAACCTCATCTGCCCCACAATACCCTGCATCGTACTCTGCACAGCCGCAAATTTGTGCACCCCACACTTCTCGCTCTCAATATGCTGGCACAGCGCGCTCAGCACCGTGAACCTCTGACGACACACCTGCATCGGGCATATATAAATCTGATCCTGATGCCTTGGGCTCGCGAGGTGCTGGTTCAGCGCATTAAGACTCCGATACGTCCCATGGCAAAGGTAACACTCAAACGCAGCGCCATTCCACGCCGCGCTGGACGCGATGTACGTGACCTGCTGCTGCATGCCGCCGCCTGGGCCGGCGATCATGCGGGAGGGGTCGGTGATGACGTTGTTGCGGTCGAGCTGCCGGACTTTGTCGTTGATGAAGTTGCGGGTGATGCCTGAGCGGCAGGTGCCGGACTCGAGGTGGAGGAGCATGGCGGAGGGGGAGACGAAGGTGAGGGTGCAGCCTCCGCCGCGGCAGGGGACGTCGCGCGGTCGGTGGGTGGAGGAGTTGAGGTGCTATAGGGTGGGCAGGTGGTCAGTAAAGGCGGACATGCGGGGGAAGAGAAGACGGGGAACGAAACGGGGATGTGGAGGGAAGTCAAACGGAGAGAAACTCACGGCTTGGAGGTTACTCGCTGATAAGAAGAGGCGATTGCATGGCACACAGTAGTGGTGATTGGGGGACTGGCGGTAATGCTCGTTGCGCCCGAACGCGTTCACAAAGAACTTGTTGCACGAGCTGCACCAGATATGGGCGGACTCGTAGTGATCTTCTAGGTCTTGGTCGTGGTCGAAGTGTTGGCTGCAGTGCTGGCAGTAATCATGGTTTGGGCTCTGGACCCAATGTTCTTTGAGTCCGACCCAGGTCGGGAAGTCAAGCTGGCAGTCACCGCAGATGTTGTGGACGGAGGAGTTGTTTTCGTGTTGACGAAGCGCATGCCAGGAGTTGAAAGAGCGGTCGCATCGTTCGCAAAACATTTGTGAAAGAGGGATGTGAAAGAAAGGATTGGGTTGAGCCCTATCTTAGGCAAAGGATTCAAAAAAGAATTAGACTCGGAGCCTCCCAAAGATGAGGCGACGTACGGACAGCACGAAAAGGAGATGTCGAGGACGGCGGAAGGGAAAGAGAAGGAAGTCAAGTCACTTTATATAGCGCCACTATGTAATATCGCTTAGTAATACATACCTGTGCTCTTTATTCCTTCACCTCAGTTGCACACCTTTGTCGCTGTCGGTCCTGAATTCGAATGCATTGCAGGTCCTGAAAGAAGGGTCAGTGAGGCTCAGTGTCGTGGTTGATGGCGACATCACTAGATCAGTCGGCAACCCCACTCAAAATGATGCCCAACGTTCGTCACAATAATCGTGCGTCTGTAAACAGGGGCGGTGATGACGTAACGTTCCGTGTCTCAGCTTCCGTCCACTCAGGCCAATGGGGGCCCGATGAATTGTCGGGGAAGAAAGACTGTGATAGGGCGATAAAGGCCAGATTGGGCTGCATTCGTCGACTGCAGCGCCACTGATCCCAGATGACGCCAGTTCGAGGTGGGTCCGAGTCAGAGTCACGCCCTAACCTTATCCGTCCTCCTTATAAGCCCTATGTAGCACGGCCTCTCTTATTGTGACCAACTGCTACTCAACCTCGCTCCTCACCTGCAATGCGCCGCCCATCCACAGCTTCATTCTACGCCCGCCCTCTCTCCAGAGCCAAGAGCTCCTCTGCTGCCTCCGCCGCCACTCCCGTCACCGCTCCCACCGACGAGAACGCAAGCCCCGCCAAGTCACCCGTCATCCCAGACATCAAGGAGGACCGCGCGCGGGAGCACGAGCGGCAGCGGCACAAGAAGGCCTCCGGCTTCGTCAAGACCCAGGCGCGGAAGGAGCTGCAGGCCCAGGGCGGGTTCACAGTGAAGCCGTACGAACGCCACTCGACGCCTCGCACCGTCGCACGGTTCGAGGACGACGGCGAGGAGCCTGCATGTGAGGAGTCCGAGGTGGACTGGGACGACGTGTCGTCGCCTGTGCGTTCGCCACGCGTGGAACAGGAGCGGGAGCCCGTATCAGGTCGGCCCGAGGTCCCACTCGCCGACTTGCTTATCTCGCGGAAGCCGCGGCACGGACGAGGTATGTCAATTACATTCCGTTTTCCCCAAGTCTACTGCTCCGAATCCACTCGTCTTCCCTTATCAGTAATGTCACTTGCACGTGTGCTGAGCTTATCTTTGTTTCTACCATCCCAGAACCCGACTTTGAAGTCGTCCCACCCATCCGCTCCGTCATTGTGCTCGACGACAGCGCGGCGCCGGACATTGACTTCAACGAGCCTTGGGAACACGTCTATGCGGATGACTCGGATGCGAGCGAGCCGCATGCCCACGAACGCGAGCCTTCATATGCGAAGATTGCCTCTCTCAGTTAGATCACGACACCCCATATACTTTAAGTACACCGGATTTGGACCTTGATACTTGTAATTTTAGAGTCCCCACCACGACCACGAGACCGCCCCCTGGCTTCCTTGGCCACGACTCCGTTCATTCATTCCCTACCCACCGGTCCCCCCTTACCAGCCACGACTTCGTTGGCCACTTTTGTCTATTCCTGTTCCCGATTTAGCTTCGCGATCCTGCCTTGCGCACACATAATCTCATAACCCCACCACGTTGACTACTTTTCAGGTATCTCAATTGCAGCGTTGTACGAGTATTCACACCCAATACTGCACCAACGAATACCATACGTACATATGCCCCTCTAGCTCTACGATAACAAATAATATTGGTTTCTAATGAATGGAGGACCAATGGCTTTTGACAAGTTATCTTTCATATCATCCTCCGCCTAGTCCTCCGACTCATCCTTCATGCCATTCTTACGGCGCCACATCGCTTTCTTATCAGCGTCACCTGCGTCCAAGGCTCAGCCGAGGTATCTTACAACACATACAAGAACGCCATACCAATGATCGTTATAACATCGCACTCAACACCCTCAACTCGATGATAAAAGCACCCCAGCCTCCGCGCAGGTATAATCGGACTCTCCTGACGCGGGTAGATGAACCCATGGCACACAAGCCCATCATCGCCCGAGTCCGACGGGAACACCTACATCACCACCACCACCACCAAGAAATGAAAAGCCGGACGGTGGGGGGGAGGAAGGAAGCGGACTTACCCAGTAAGTCTCGTCTGGCATCACCGCGTCGAGCTTGGACGTGTCCAGGGAGAGGTCGGGCTCGAGGTGGACGTCCCAGCTCCTTACCGTCTCCAACGCGCACGGCTTCCCTTCGTTTTGGCGGACCTGTCGCACGCGGACGCTGCGTAGTACTAAGGCGTGAGTAACACTGCATGCAGAATGTGGGATGCGCAGACTCTCACACGGAGTCTGAGGGAGCTGGGCCGACGAGCCAGTGGTACAGCGTCCTTGGGAACGTTGCGATCTTATGCATAACTTCGGCCCAATCATCCGCATCGCGCCTGCGCTCCCACTTGCAAAAGTCCGCGTGGCCTATACCAAGAACTTCTCTGAGCCATATCCCAAATTCAAGTGGGGGGAGGGGCAGGGACACCTTACTTATCAGCGTCAAGGTCAGTTCCCCATCGACATGGCGAGAGTGTAGCTGGATCGTGCGGGGGGAGATTATCCTGCGCGTGGTGCTGAGTGGATCGGAGGGGTCGGTGATGAACTCGTGTGGGGGGTGGGGGGCCGTGTCGTTTGGGTTTATCTGGTAGACTCGGAGACGAATCATGTATTATGAGGAGGGAAAGCATAGGGAATGGGGAAGGGGAGGGCGCGTACCATGAGCCTATCATCAGGCGCCACGAAATCGATTTGAGAGGTGTTCAGAGACCCGTCCGCCTCGAGCGTCGCGCGGTAGCTGTTGATGACGTGCGGGTCTGTGGCGTCGGGGTCTGCGATCTGGCGGACGAGAAGGGTGCTTTGACGGAGGGTTTGTATCGTAAAGAAGGGAGGAGGGTTGGGCTCACCTCATGTTACATGTATTAGGAGGGGATGGGACAAAAGAGAGACATGCGAGTGGGCGTACTATTGAATTGGGTGTGTGACGCAGTTGGTTTACGATTTGAAATGGTGGCTCCGCCCACGCCGCTGCAGTGAAAGCTGGAGTAATATGGTGTATCACTAGTACTCATGGAGACCGTGCGTATACAACACGCCTTTGAACGGTAGAGGTTTACTGCTGCGAGTCCTTATTCGGAAAGAGACCAAGAAGTTCGCGTCATGGCAAAGGGAAGAACTCCGGCGATAAGATTAGATTTCGAGCTTACGATGATCAGCTGGGGACACACCTTGGTGTCCACACCGTTCTTGACTTTCCGCCCTGAACTTTAATTCTCAATCCGGAATGCCGGAATTGCCGCAACACGTAAGCTGTCAGATCTCAGATTCTGGGCGCGCCTTGAACCTAATTGGGAGCGCGCCGCTCCTAGCAGGTCGCGTCTCCGTCCCTCCCTGCTTCACCCATCTATCTCCCGCTTGGATACCCCGC